ACTGTCCATGGCTGCAGCGCCGTGAGACACGTTTGCGTAACCCTGATCAGCTGGCGACCCGTGTTCCACGCGCGGTGGGGTACACGGCTGTTCAACCAGAACTGAAGCGGGCGCATGTGCAGAAGGCCCAGCTGAAGTACAGCGGAGGCTGAGGCCATGTAACCCAGCATCCTCTGAAAAGTTTTCAGAGGCCTGCGGGTGCCCATCTGGAACGAGGCGGCTAGACGCTGAACACTGCGCGCGCGCTGTGTAGACAGGCGAGCCGTCATCGTGACCGAGTCCAAATCTATTCCTAGGAAGGAAATCGATTGACTGGGATGAAGGGAGCTCTTTGTCCAGTTGACAGAGAGGCCCAGCGTTTCCAAATGGTCGAGGAGAACTGCGCGGTGCGACAGAAGCTCCGTCTGTGATTGGGCCAAAATCAGCCAGTCGTCCAGATAATTCAGAATGCGCAGCCCCTGGCTTCGCAGGGGGGCGAGCGCCGTATCCATGCACTTCGTGAATGTACGGGGCGCCAGAGATAAGCCGAACGGGAGAACGGCGTATTGATAAACAAGACCCTCGAAGGCGAAACGTAAGAATGGCCTGTGACGGGGATTTATCTGGACCTGAAAATAGGCGTCTTTCAGGTCTAGAGATATGAACCAGTCCCCTTGGCGCACCTGCGCGAGGAGTTTCCTGGTAGTGAGCATCTTGAACGGTCTCTTCATGAGCGCTTTGTTCAAAGACCTGAGATCTAAGATCGGTCTGAGGCCGCCGTCCTTCTTGGGAACCAGAAAATAACGGCCGTAAAACCCCGACTCGTCATAGATGGCGGGACTCTCTCTATCGCGCCCTTTTGCAACAGCGTCGCAATTTCTGAGCGGAGCGTGCCGGCGGCCAGCGGGCTGACAGAAGATTCGAGCTGCGCGCGCGCACGAGGCGGGCGGCGGCGAAACTGTAGCAGGTAGCCGTTCTTTATAATGCTTAACACCCACGGGGAAATGCCTGGAACGGCTTCCCACGCTTTGGAGCATGCGGCTAGTGGCCGAATGGCTGTATTGCCCTGATTGCTGCACATAGCGGGCTGGACACAGTGTGTGGGCGCGCTTTGAATGTGTGTGGCAACGGGATTTGCACTCAGAGAGGAGTCTATGGGCCGTGACACAGAGCGAGCAGAGAGGGGACACGTGCACGAGCTCGTGGGCGTGTTTATGTTCTCTGATATTAGAGCGGGCTGTGCCCGTTTCATGTGATGGGGCTCTGATAGAGACACGGGATATGTTATGCTTGTGTGTATGGGTGAACACATGATTGTGGGCACATTTTCTACACAACTGGCAAAATTTCTCTTTTTGAGATTTCTCTGGGTAGCCGTAAACACGGCTTTTTGTCGCTCGCAAGCGGGCTGGGACACCGGCTTGTTTGTGGCGGTCAACACTACAGCAGTCGGCGAAATAACGGGGACTGGCAGAGGGCGAAGCTTTGACGGCGGTCCGGCCGCGGCGGGAGAGCACCGTCGTTTTCTTGACATTGTTAGGCAGACTTCTGATGATCAGGCTTCAGCGTGATCTTGGGTCGCGGGCCACGGGGGGGCGGCGGTCTGCGGCGGCTGTCAGAGCGAGAGCGAGGGCGGCCGCTCTGACTGCGCTGAGTTGTTTGAGTCTGCGGAGGGGGGCGCTGTGATGGGGCTCTGGCGGAGGGCTCGTGAGAGCGGCCCGCTGAAGAGCTAGCGCGGCGGGGTAGAAACAAGTTCATCGCCTGAGAAGCTTTCTGTACTTCAGAAAAGCGATCGACAATTCCCGTGACGGCAGATCCAAACAGGCCCGTCGGGGAGAGGGGCGCGTTGAGAAACGCGGCGCGCTCAGAATCTCCCATGTCGGCGAGCGTGAGCCATAAGTGTCTCTCAGCAACACAAAGGCTGGCCATGCATTTCCCCAGAGCTTGTGCGGCGGCTTTAGTGGCGCGAAGGGCGAGATCCGTAGCACTTCTCAAATCCGTGACGGCGGGGGGGGGGGGTTTTCTACCGCCTTCGGCCCATTCACGGAGAATATCGCTCTGTAACACTTGGAGGACAGACATAGAGTGAAGCGCAGCGGCGGCCTGACCGGCGGCGGCGTAAGCGCGAGCATGAAAGCTCGAGGTCGCTCTGCAAGCCTTCGAAGGAAGCGTGGGTGAAGAACGCCATCTAGCGGAGGGCGGGCAGAGGTGTGTGGCGACCAAGTCCTCGACGGGCGGCATGGCTGCATAGCCTTTCTCGGCGGCTCCGTCCACCGAGCGCAGCGAGGCGGATACATCGGAGCGATTTCTAGCCGAGAGCGGTGCATTCCAGGATTTTGTCAGCTCTGCGTGAAGTTCAGGCAGGAATGGAGCGGCCCGGGTGCACGCGGGGGTCGAGCGCCGATGAAAAAAGCTACCGTCCATTCGGTTCGGGGCCTGCTCGGGTGGAGGAGACCACTCGAGACCGAGGCGTTCGACGGCCTGTGAGAGGAGGCGCATCAGCTCCTCTTCTATCCCGGCGCGGGTCCCCGTCGACTCTCTCGCGGATCCGAGAGATGACCAGTCTTCACTGTCAGAAGCGAGCAGTGAACAGGAGTCCTTCTCCTCCGCGGCGTCATCGGAAACAACAGAGCGGCCACTCGGCGGCAACTGAATGTCCGGCAGGGGCGGGGAGGGAGAGCGGGAAGCGGGAGGCGGCGGCGGCGGCCCGCATGTTTCCGCTGGGGGCTCCGGCGGCCTTTGAGAGCGGCGTTTCTTTTTACGCGGCGAGAGAATAGGCGGCGCGGGAGCGGTTTTCACTGCCAGAAGTCGTGCCCGCAGGGACGATAACGGCAGGCTTTCACAGAGGTCGCATCCTCCATCAGCGAGGGCGAGTTCTGCATGCTCGAGTCCCAAGCAGAGAGCGCAGATGACATGGCGGTCTCCGTCCTCGAGACGAGCGCGGCAAGAGCCGCAGGAAAAACGAGACATCTTTAAAAAGACGCTCGGCTCTTTTAGAAATAGAGAAAGGATACAATCGTCGGATGGCCTAGCTTGCTGGGCGGCTGAAGGTGGCGAAGACGGCCGGCTTCTTCAGGGTCCTTGAGCTCGCTAGAGGATGCCTTCTTCGACGGCGATGGCTTTTCTCAGGAACAGCAGAAGCGTGCAGCTTGCTGAAGATGAAATGAATCAACATATAAGCCTGGGAGAGCGCCTTATATACACCATGGCCACGCCCATTCTGGCGGGTCATGACGCAATGAGCGCGCGGGCGCCTCTCATTGGAAGCGGGTTCAGCCCCGCTCTCCCATAGGCTTAAGCAGTTCTCTCTGAGCGAACCAATGAGCTGCTAGCTAGCCCGCTCTAGGTCTGCCGCAGAGGAACTGCGTTGTGTATGGATACAAAATTATGAAATAATTTTTTGGCTTCAATATCTCAGCAAAGATGAATCTTTCCCGCAGCGTAAGCTAGCTTACGCAATACGAGAGAACCTCTCGTAAGAGAACAAGCTATTAGGACATTATAGCTTTTATGAATATGCCTTAAAAAAAAAAAAAAAAAAATTCTGATGTGCACCTTGAGACAAAACAATGGCACTTACATATTTTAAGATATGTCAGTGCAAGTTGCTTTAAGTTAAAACAGCTCAAACATGCATTTTAGTGTGGGACTAGGTTTACCTTGTCTGTTTAACCCGGGGGTATATGTCCACCATGGAATATTTATTTACACAAGTTTACATAAATATATTTACATTCATTTCTGGACATAAAATAGCTGAAACAAGGGCTGTGGCCCTTATTATTTCTGACTTCCCCAAAGATCACATCAGTTGCCCATTACATGTTAAATACACAAACAGATATCAACGTCTCGAAAACAGATTAATAAAGTGTTGTGATAAATCAAAACCCAACAACTGCCATACGTCTGCCATGTGGAAGATATTAATGGATACATTTCCAAAAATACCAAAGGGATGGGTACGTCAACGGGTGGAGAGGAAAAAGTATAAACGGGTTAAATTTGAGATATCATAGACGTTACACAAGACGTGTATCTTGTAAAACAGTAAAAAGTGTATCCACAATAATGTGTCCAGTTTAAACAGTCTCTAATTTGTATTCAGCCAGCTTTTTCTAGAGGAAACGTGGTCATGACATGAATTTTAAATGTTTCTGTTGCACACTTTAGCTTCCTTTACTTGCATTCTCACTGGGAGGAAATTGTCTAGTGTTGTTCCTGCTGCTGCAGCTGATAAATGTTCTGTGAAGTCAGCACTAAAACCACTCATTAGGTAATGATAGCACAGTCCAGTGTCCTCATTCCTGAAATACTAGTGAAACATAACATACCACCCCTACACTGTTTCCACAGGTACTTGTGACTTTCATACAGGTTTGGAACAACTTGAGTGTGAGTAAACAATAGCCAGAACCATTAACAGAATTTTAATTTGTGGGTGAACTATCCCTTTAAGCAGGTATTAGGGGGTCTTCAATGCGCGAGGTAAATCCTAGGGCTCTCTAAAAATAAAATGGAAAGGCCAGAAAAAATATGTTAAGAACAAACGGTAAAAAAATTAAAAGCCACTGCTGACCAAACTCCTTAAACTAGAATTTTCTAATTAAAACAGGCAGATTTCAGGCTATTGAGGTTGAATTAGAACTTCAAAGGAATATTTTGCATTGAATTTTGAATAATAATCTTTATTCAGTTAATTTCAAGATATAAAAATGTCCCTTTTTGTATGTGGAAATATAAAAATCTGCAAACATAAGAAACTTTTGTTTCATGCTAATGGTCCATTTAAAATTACATCAGCACCAGGCAAAAGAGTGTAATTAATACAGTATTAAAGAATATGTAAAAAACAAAACGTAAAAAAAAAAAAAATAAGATTTACAAGATGCAGTACATTAATGGTGAAAAGAAATCGATAACTGAGGATTTTTCTTAAATCTTTTGGGTAATTCAAGTAGGTTCATTAAAATTGCTAGTTTCCTTGTAATGTTATTAAATAAATATATAAAGTAAATGCAACAGATTTAATATATTTGTTAATATTATAAAAAAGGAAAATCAAATCTAATGTATGAAATGTAAAAAGCATGCAAATATAAGATACAGTACATCAAAAAACTGTAGTGTAAAGAACAGTTTACAGCTCGATAACAATACTAACTTTTTTTTTTTTTTGCAATTTCATGTAGGTTGACTGAAATTTCTACTTTTATTTTAATGTCTCTGAGAGAAATCCTTGATTTTCTGTGCTATAGCCTGGGCCTTTGAGACGGGGCATGGCAGCACCGGGAGTCGGGGAGGACCCAGCACTAACCCTGACACTTCACTCATCACCTGCTTATTCACGCCCACATCAAAACCTGCAGAGCATACATGATGAAATAAAATCAAAAGTACCATTTACACAACAACAACAAAAGCAATGTCTACTGAGACATCACAGCTGTACTGGGAATACGACACCATTCAAAAGTTTGGGGTCAGTATAAATTTATATTTAAAGAAATTAAGAATTGTATTCGGCAAGCACCTATTAAACTGATCAAAAGTGACAGTCAAGGCATTTATAATGTTACACAAGGTTTCTATTTCAAATAAATGCTGTTCTTCTGAACTTTCTATTCATAAAAGAATCCTTAAAAAAATGTCTCACGGTTTCCAAAAAATTATTAAGCAGCACAACCGTTTTCAACATTGCTTAAAAAAAAAAAAAAATTCAGTATATTACAAGGATCACGTGACACTGAAGACTTGAGTAATGGTTTACTCTATTTTTGATCTAATAAATGCTGCCTTGGTGAGCATAAGAAACTTCTTTCAAAAATCTTACCAACCCCAAACATTTGAAAGGCGCAAAACAGTCAACTCACCAAGGTTCTTAGCAAATGTGATGACCTCCATAAATTCGAGCTGTAAACAGAAGCAAATTCATTAACCTGAATATTAATTCATTAACCTGAACACATTCTGATGAAGTAAAAACAGTCCAAAAGCACTAAAGGAGAAATGCACATGGAATGAATGATGTACCTGCAGGGCTCTGGACTGCATGAGGTTGCTGTTATCAAAAGCAGAAAGCATCTGGTTCACTATGAGTCCGAGGTAGTTATATGTGCTGGAGAGGAGAGAGAGAGAGAGAGAGTGTTGCATGGTCTTCAGAAATGCATTATTTATAGGTTAAGTTTTTTAAGCTACTGTTTTTCAATCAAATCAGCCACAGGAGACACTGAATGGCACAATAGCTATGTTTCCATCCACATAATTTTATGTGAATTTTGGGATATTTCAAAACATAAAGAGGTGCAAAAATTCTGAAAATGTACATTAAAGAAAAATGTATGCGCACAATAGAGGTGGATAATATATTTTTCAGACAAGAAGACATGCACATAAACTATGATGGAAACACATTTCCCAAATAAATCTCTCGATGCGCAACAAACACTCATCTGCCTCAACAGAGGATTTGATTGGATAACTGCACTAACCAGTGAACCAATTTCATTGCACAGCATCTCAAATGTTGGCTTGATCATTCTGAAATGCCTGAACCAAAGTCTGTCATCAGAACGATTTGGTATAATGACCTGCCAAAATTGTCTCACATGATTGCGTTTTAAAGGCTCGAACGCAAGCTAACATTACAGTGTTTATAGAATTTTGCCTGTGCGCTCTGAGGAACAAGTAATTTATGATGTACAAAAAAAGAGCCACGGTGGTGCAACAACTTCCATTTTTATTACAGATATTTTGCACCAATTTTCCAGAAAGTGAGGATTTTGTTCACTTGAACACATGGGATGGAAACTGTGCTTTACTCTTAAAGGTTTTATAAGATATTCCAATTTTGCACAGAAGTTAAATGTGCAACTTTGTATGGAAACATAGCTAATGTATTATCAGGAACCAAAGCAACACAACAGAAAGAAAAAACAACTGAGGCCAGAGAAAGAGTTGTAAGATGCCATGATGTTGGCACTCACCTTCCTACTGCTCCATGAACACCTAGTACCAAAGCTCCCAAGAGTTGCTGTGTAACAAAGTGTGAAGTAAAACATATAAAATCACAACCGCAAGTTATATAAATGTGACACTAGCAGGAAAAATACAGTAGAGGTAATTTCATACCTCATCTACTCCGAACAAGACAGACCAGTTATGGGACTGACAGTAACAGACACACTGTCCGAGATCCCTCAGGTCAGTCCCGCTGTATTTCACTCCCTGAAAAGAGGGGATCATCTGCTCTATCCCATTTAGCACATCAGCTGCCTCCACTGAAGAAAAAAATAAAGAGGAAACAGAGACTGAGCCACAGTAGGAAGTCAATCTCTCATATGTCAATCAGACTCATTCAAAAATGTAGTATTGTGCAATTCTAAAGTATTTACGAAAGTTGTTAGTGTTTTGACTGCCAGTAATGATGACAGCATGGGGCTGCACTTACATTCAACGCCGGTCATGCCTGGAATATGATAATAATACATTGGAACATCTGGAGCAGAGGTGCTCACTTCCTTTATAAACAACCTCAATGCATCTGTGAAAAGAGGAAGGTCATTTGTTTTATGAAAATCATTCAAAAGCACATTTGGTAATACCTTTAACATACGATTAATTAAGTAGAGTTTAAAAAAAGGGGGTTAACACCTGCATTAATGGGTTTGAAAAAGGAAGGAGAGATTACTGCTATGCCGTCGGCCCCTATACTGGCGGCATGCCGAGCCTGAAGGAAAGAAAAAACATCCACTCAGCATTTTAAACGGTCACGAGGAGGGAAGTAGCTGTTTATCTGCACATGGTGTAACACGAATGGATAAACAGCGAATGGGAGAAAAATATGTATGCAGAACTGCAGTTATGAAAATGGAAGAGTGCTTAAAGAAAAGTGGTATACGCATGAAAGATGCAGATAATGCATGTGAATAAAAGGGGATGTGAAACAATGTACTCACCAGTTCTTGAGAATCTTTTATACTCATGCAGCCAACATGAACAATCACTTGCTCAAGCCTGAACACACACATTCAGTATAAAGAAATTAAACATCTGACAAGGGCAACTTCCATTAGAAAACAATAATGGAAATTGGAATCCACAATAGATGTGTATTAGGGTGTTTCCTAACGTATAAACAAATTTGGCCTTGTAAACCTTTAAAAAATAAACCATCCACTTTGTCCAGTAATAGTGTCCAACAGTGGACATACTTATTGCATCACTGGAGAACCGTGTTATTTTTGCCATTTCCCCCTGAATCATCTTTAAAGTGTCCACCACAAATGTAGCTTAACTGCAAGCAACACCACAGTCATGAAGTTGATTCAAAGGAAATACAAGCATTCTGTGTTGGAAATGATAATTTTGGAAACTCCTTTGTCTTGCTAATTTCATAGCTAGAAATGGATGTATCCTAAACACACACAATTACATAAATGTTTACACTTTTCATATAATTTGACATTATTACTCATTAGGAGTAAAACAGCTGGTTGTGGTGGAAATGTAAAAAAGTATGTGAATCATTTTCAAACTGAGTATAATTTTTTTCGCCCACTTTTTGTTTAGATTTTTATTGTTTTCAAATTAAAATTCATATTTCAAATTTCTTATGATGGATTTGCCTATTTTAAAATGGTCTGGGTCAGCAAAATCTATACAAGAAATAAATGTGAGAAGTAGTAGAAAATAAACGATGAAGGCATAGTAAAATGTGCCCTTCGCAAGTTTTCTGTTAAAATAATGTCAAAATTCTGTTACTTTTATAACCCCTGGAACATAGGCTAATAATTACCCACAGCTGAATAAACCCCATAAACATGCTATAACTCACTTGCCCTTTCCTTGTTGGCACCAAGCTGCAGCAATCTGCTTCCTTTCGTCCACAGTTAGAGAACAGCCCTCGCCTGTTGTGCCGTTAACTACCAAAAACAAAGTGGTTTAGATTACAAATAACATAAATGACAAAACATGTTGCCTTTTTCCCCAAAATCTTTGATTAAATGAATAGGTTTGACTTACCAAACACACTCTTGACATTCTGTTTTTCTATTAGGTAATCAATGTATGGTCCAATTACAGAGAGATTGATCTCCCTAAAAACAGCAAAAGTTGGATATCAATGAACACTGCACGCCAGCTATGATTGTGTAAAGCTTTTATTGAGGAATGAAGTATTTCACCCTTCTGCAGTAAGTGGTGTGAAAGTAGCTGCCACGAGACCAGTGAGCTTTTTTACGCTTCGAGACATGTCTGCATACACAACAACGAGAAAACGTCAGTGTATTATTAAAACGTCAAAGCCTGACACAACATGCCATGTAATGCAATCAGATTTTAAATGGGTTCCTAAAAGTCTCAAGTTCTATTCTTTCCCGACCAAATACATTTGAATTCAGTCCACAATTAAAAGACAGTCGCTTACCTTCCTCTTTCATTGGCTAAAACCGTTCAACTCAGGCAGACGGGCAGACAGACACTCGTTGTACATCATAGACGGTGGTGGTCATACTGTACTTGTTAGTACATGACGCCACTGCACGAGGCAATCACGTGATGCTTACGAGGAAGTAACTTAAGCACTTGTTGCTACATTTTGAAAAGTAAAATGTGTAATAGACTAGGCAGTTCCATTTTCATTTTATTTAGAGGACTTGTATGCATTATATTAAGAATTTTTTTGTTATGAATTTTTTTTAAAACAGACAATGATACGACGTGTACTTTCAGTAAGATTAAATATATCTTCTTGTGGGAATTTTTTACTATTCATATTTTCATTTGATTATATTTGTAATATATATAAATATTACAAACGTAAAAAGTTTGCTTGCAAGGCATGCTAGGAATTGTAGTTTCTGCACCACACCGTTTACGGGGCGTGTACGCTCAGCGCTACCCGGATGCGGATGTTGTCGTCTGCCCGTAAAACGCAACGGGTGATGATCTCCATTCACTCAGCGATTCTGAGAGAGACCTCTGGCCCTTTGCATTACACCTGACATATAATAACTCTTACGAGGAATATTTTTATTTGTCGGAATCTGGGAGCTGATTGGACCACCTTTGTCACTCGTGGATGATCGAAGAACAGATTTAAGATGTTCTTTCCGCTAGTTACAGCAGCGTTTCTGCTACAAAAACATATGCCCAGTGGTGCCGAGCTGTCATCGACGGGTTAGCCGGCGAGCTAAACAACAAAGCCTGACGGGGGTTGAGAAATCTTTTTTTCATCAAATCATCTTGACAACAACATTTCGCTGGATATTTTATTTTTGAATAACGCCGTAGCATTTTCTACATGGGTTAAACTTGTTTTTAGAATCACAAAGATGGGATTGGGACCCGCATACCATCTAACTAATTGCTATTAGTTCTAGGGGGATCATTACGATGCGTTCTCTCCTTCTTTCTGGGGTTGTAAACTGCTGATCGTGTCACCCATGGTGATGGTTGCTATTAGAGTCAAAGCATCTTTTTCCATGGCCCCATCTGGAGCTCTTCTCGAGCCTGTCTCTGCTGGGGATCTACAGTGATGTAATTTGTTGTTGTTTTATAACTGATACTCAATAGAGAGTAGCATGCCGATGTGCCAACGTGTTATCAAGGTGACAGTCAGGTGTGGCAACAGCAGCTGACTGACCAACTCTAATGAAAAGTGACTTGATCGGTGTTCCTTCCTTAGTCATTTTGTAATAGACACTAAAAGCATCTCAGAAATGCACCAGAGCTGCATTCATCCAAGAGAGACGTTTAGATAAGAACAGGAACTATAAAGTTATTGAGCTGGAACAGTGAATGTATTCAAATTCTGTGGGTGTTACTGAATCATATTTTTTACATTCAATTTGAAAATGATGGACCAGAAGTGGAACAATAACTTGGTGCTAAATAAACATATCTAAGGCAGGAAAGAGTTGCCTTGGTTGTCTTCATCTACGTGAAGGTTGGAAGCAGTCTGTTGTGAAACTGGTGGATTAGAGCCGTGCGGATGCTTCATTCTGCAACTATGTTGCCTGCTTTTTTGCTGCTGTTTTTTATGGGAACCTCCATCAGGTTATCAGAGACCATGAGCAGAGATGAGAGGAACAAACTGAGGTATGTGTCTATGTGAGAACATGTGTAAATTTGAATTGCTTGCCATATGAATGATTCAAAATGGTGTTTTTCTTAATTTAAGAAATGCTTTTGCTTCTCAGGAACCAAGTGGTGGAAATGTTTGACCACGCTTATCAGAACTACATGGTATGTACACAGTGACTAATAACTGTTCTTGTTGACAGCTGGGTACACATGGAAGTTTTAATCCTACTTTTCCATCAGCATCAAAAGTTATGTGTGTAGTTTTTTTTGTTAATGTTGAAAGAAGTCTCTTATGTTCACCAAGGCTTATGTTCACCTAAATAAATGTTTTCTATTGTAATGTATTTTAAAATATAATTCATTCCTTTGATGGCAAAGCTGAATTTTCATCTCATTACTCCAGTCTTCAGTGTCACATGATCCTTCAGAAATCATTCTAATGTGCTGATTTCGGTCCTCAATAAACATTTCTTATTATTATCAATGTTGAAAAAAGTTGTGCTGCTTAATATTTTTGTGGAAACCATGATACTTTTTAAAGGAATCTTTTATGGTAGGAAAGTAAAGCATAACAGCATTAATTTGAAATAGAACTCTTTTGTAACATTATAAATACTTTACTGTCACTATTGACCAATTTAATGCATCCTTGCTGAAAGTATACATTTCTTTAAAAAAAAATGTGACTGCATTTCTGGTCAGACTTTATTTTCATGTGCCGTTGTTACAGTATAATTACACAAATAAGTTCAGAGTAATATTAATTATTAACGTTCTTATTATAGGTGTAGTATATTATTAAGGTTTGGCTTGATTAATTTGGCTGTTAATTGGGTAACGCTTCCTTTTACAGTACAGTACTTACGTGTACTTACAGTGTACTTACCTAGAAAGTACTGGCTAATATAAGGTAAGTACATGGGTTAGGGATAGGTTCAGGGTTAGTACCTAGTTATTACCCAGTAATTGTAATTACTATAATAAGTACATAGTATGTATGGGTAACAGGACTGTAAAATGAAGCGTTACCGTTAATTGCAAGTCATTATTTATGCATAATTTACTGTTATTACATACTGTTCACATGTGTAACTACGGCACATTGAAATAACATTTCTTTCTATAGAATTTTTTCTTTCTACATTGAATGTCAGTAGGGTCCAGTGTTGTTTTGGACCCCACTGACTATCAGTGTATGGACAAAAACTGTTGAAACATTCTTCAAAATATGTTATATAGAAAAATTATATAGATTTTATATAGAAAGTTATATAGAATTGAAACAACATGAGGGTTATGGAATGATGCCTGAATTTTTATTTCTGGATGAATTATCCCTTTAACATTGCTCATTTGCCAATAAATGTTCCCTGACAAAAAAACAAATAAAAAACAGGAGTGTTGCGAGGATAGGGGAAGACAGACTAATGTTTGAGAGAACGGCATTATAATTCAAATCTGCCTTGTTTCATCTAATTTTATCTTTGTTCTTTTCATTTTGACAGGACCATGCCTACCCCGCAGACGAGCTGATGCCTTTGACTTGTCGTGGGCGAGTGCGTGGACTAGAGCCCAGTCGAGGGGATATAGATGATGCCCTGGGGAAGTAAGTCAGTTGGAGATGTGTTAAAATTTCTCTTTATTAATTTATTTGAAAAGAAATGTCGAAAACTGAGATGAAAACATGTTTTCCTGTTCCGTCAGGTTCTCCCTCACCCTCATTGACACTCTTGACACTCTTGCAGTGAGTAACATCTCAAACAGAACTTGAAACCTCTTGCAAACACTCATATTTACAGTTAAGCCCAAAGTTGTTTGCTTATGTCCTGTTCTGACATCTCACAGCTGTTAAATAAGACGGTGGAGTTTGAGGAAGCAGTGAGGAGAGTATTGAAGGATGTACGGTTGGATAATGACATTGTGGTGTCTGTATTCGAGACCAACATCCGGGTGCTGGGGTGAGTAAGACATCTCTGTCAAGAGGTTCAAAGTAAACTGACGTGGTAAAAGACTGCATTTAAAATCTATCTAGTAAATTGTGTCTGTTTTGCTTGTGTAATACTTTACTGTTCTTTTAGTGGACTGCTGGGAGGCCATTCCATGGCCATCATGTTGAAAGAAAGTGGGCAAATGCTCTGGTACCAGAATGAGCTGCTGCACATGGCCAAAGATCTTGGACTCAGACTGCTACCTGCATTTAACACCAGCAGTGGCCTGCCTTACCCTAGAGTGAGTGAAAGCACGCATGTACATGCATTGCATATGCAATATGATTGATTAAACGTCATCATGAAAATATGTTGTACATTAAATGTTTGTTTTTTGTTGTTTTTTTGCGAACATTTATCTTCATGCCTATACAGTATACACACACACACACACACACACACACTCACACATTCAGACAATTTCTGTTGATTCGGCTGTTCTGGGCATTTCATTGGTTGGTTGCATGTCTGCTTTAGGGAAATGAACTCTGTGACATCCCACAATGGCTGCACGTGTCATCAACAGCATGACTGCCCCTTTCACAGTTGCTGTTAGTTTATTTTACAGACCTTCAGTTACAAAGCATTCTCAACTTATTACATGTCTCTCTGGATTCTGGAATACCTGATTCTGATTGTTCTACAAAACATTCTACAATGTTTATTCATCTTTATTTATTTTAATCTCAACATTTACTAATGCATTTTTAAGAAAGATAGTTTGTTACCATTAGTTATTAATGCACTGAACTAACATGAACATGACATTTTTTTATAATATTAACAATGGTTAATAAATGCTGTGAAAATATATTGCTCATTGTTAGTTCATGTTAGTTAGTGCATTAGCTAATGAGACCTTATTAACGTGTTACCAATAATTCTTATTTAATAGTTAAATAACATACTTTAATGTAATTCTGTCAACTCTAATGTCCACTTTAATGTTAATCCCCCATTATTGATTCGAAATAATTAATACTTTTATTTAGTAAAAAAATGATCAAAAGTGATAATAAAGACATTGCTGGTCTTTTGAACTTTCGGTTAATTAAAGTATCCAGAAAAAGTTGTATCACAGGTTTAAAAAATATATTAAGCAGCGCAACTGTTCTCAACATTGGTACTAAAATGAAATTAGACTTGAGCAGTAAATCAGCATATTATAATAATTTCTGCAGGATCATGTGACACTGAAGACTGGAATAATGGCTGCTGAAAATTCAGCTTTGCCATCACAGGAATAAATAACATTTTAGTATATATTAAAATACAAAACATTTATTTAAAATTGTAATAATATTGAACAATATTACTGTATTTTTAATCAAATAAATGCAGCCTTGGTGAGCAGAAGAGACAAACACACACAAAAAAAAATACCGGCCCCAAACTTTTGAACAGTAGTGTATGTTAAAATAAATCCTGCTGGGGAATATTCTGTGATAAATCCCCTTGATTCTGATTCTGATTAATGATTGGATGCGTTTACAGGTGAACCTGCGTTATGGAGTCCGTGGACCTGAGACCCGTACAGGCACCGAAACGGACACCTGCACCGCCTGTGCCGGGACAATCATCCTTGAATTTGCAGCCTTGAGCCGCTTTACTGGAGACCCTACTTTTGAGGTAAAATATTACAATGGCTTCATGTTGCAAATTTGAACTAATGTCACTTTTGTTGAGTTTCTGAAGTTATAACATTCGGAAATGTCCTTATTTAACCTCCAGAGAAATGTTTCAAAACCATGCGTTCTGTATAGTTCATGTTGACCAAAGCATTTAAGGTCACCAAGCTAGTAGAAACACTGATTGTTTTGTAACAAACTAACAATGGAGCACTGACGTCATTTCGGCCTAAAGTGTTGATTCCTGGAATGTTTGTACTCATTCAGTCTACAGAATTACAACATAGATCTCTTATGACATAACTGTGCCATTTGTAAGACACACGCATCATTAGCATTAGCCGTTGTGTTGTGCACTATGAAAAGTATTATGAGGTCAGGAATGTTTTCATTTTGTGTGGTGAAAGAGATTTAAAATGACTAAATGTATTATAAATAGGCCAGTATTTAGGTGTTGATGTTTTATTGTATTGTTCGCAGGCTCATGCGAGAAGGGCTCTTGACTTCCTTTGGGAAAAGAGACAGAGGAACAGTAATCTAGTGGGAACGACCATCAACATCCACTCAGGAGAGTGGGTCCGCAGGGGTGAGGCTAAACTATACTCAACAACCCACCCAAAACATAAAACAACTGTGCTCAAGTCAGAATCATGATGTTTTTTTTGTGTCATTGTTCCCTTAACAGACAGTGGAGTTGGAGCAGGCATAGATTCCTATTATGAGTACTTGATGAAGGCTTATATATTACTGGGAGATGACCAATATCTGCATCGCTTTAACACTGTGAGTATCACTCATTCTTTTGTTAAAGACATCATAATCTCCTTTTCGGCTTGCGTCACCAAGCCGTCTTATTTTTCAAGCCCTTTCCTCTAAACACCTGTCATATTTAGACAACTTTGCTAATCCAATCAATCCCAGATGGATAAAATGAAGTCCCACTCTAAGTTTTTTACAAACACCATTTAGATTTACTTTAAAGTGTATTTTAACATTTTGAATAAGTATTTTTAAATTAATTTATTCATTAATTTCTTTGTAGACTGGAGTAGATGATATATTTTGAATTATTATTTTTATATTTATTTTATTACACATTAATTAATTAATTAATTAATAACAATTTTTTATTATTATTTTAGATTGAATTGTAATAGTTTAATTATTTTTATATTCCATTTACTTGTTTATTTTGGTAGACTAGAATTTTAACATTTTGAATTATTATTTTTATATTTATTTTATTACACATTTATTAATGAATTAATTAATAACTATTTATTCTTATTATTTTAGATTGAATTGTAATAGTTTAATTATTTTAATATTCCATTTACTTGTTTATTTTGGTAGACTAGAGTTTTAACTCTATTCAATTTATTCAATAATTGATCATTCATTTTATTCAGAATAGAAGCCCTGGAACATGTTGCCTCCTGTAGTTGTAGGGTCCAAAATAATTTTTTATACTTAATCTAACTCGCGAGTCGCATTTTAGTTTTGTCTGCCATGAAATAAGGGGTCTCTTTATCTTGTTTCTGTATTCATGAATTGTGATCGTTTGACATATTTTTCAGCACTATGCATCCATTATGAAGTACATCAGCCAACCACCTCTGCTACTGGACGTCCACATCCACAAACCCCTGCTGCCAGCCCGCACCTGGATGGACTCCTTGCTTGCCTTTTTCCCAGGATTGCAGGTGAGAAATCAGTGAGGTCATTGTCTCTCTTGAGTTTGGTATGAATATCCAAACATAAGAGTTTTGCTCTTTGCAGGTTTTAAAGGGAGATATCCGGCCAGCCATAGAGACGCATGAAATGCTTTATCAGGTTACCAAGAAACACAACTTCCTTCCTGAGGTAGATCCTCTTTTTAGCTGTCTTTTGAATATCATCATGGTTTGTGGTTTATAAACTCTTCTTGACTGCCCTGCTCCCTCACGTACTGTCTCGCCAGGCGTTCACCACTGATTTCAGGGTTCACTGGGCTCAGCACCCCCTGCGGCCAGAGTTTGCAGAAAGCACTTACTTCCTTTATAAGGTACAACTGAGTTCTCAAACAAATCTCAATACAACATCTCCTTTACTCTCCATCATGTTCCTTCATATCAACCTGCAAATGTGACTCCATTCACGCTGCATTACTCCTGCTGAGGTGCATTCGACTGTGTATTTTTATGTAGTAAACCAGGGAGACAATACAAATGATTAACGGTGAATTTCCTCTGAAGGCAACCAGAGATCCATATTACCTGGAGGTGGGCCGCACCGTACTGGAGAACCTGAACCGGTTTGCTCGAGTTCCCTGTGGCTTCGCTGCTATGAAGGATGTGAGGACGGGAAGTCACGAGGACCGGTAAGAGCTAGTATTTGTGGATAGTTAAAAAGGATGTTGGTTTATGTGGTGTATTTTTGTACAAATAATTTGAGTGGATTTTGTAAAGTGAGCATTTATGTGTAAAGAGTGGGTGGCAAGCTGTCTCACGGCATATTTATTTCCCTTCATCACCGCCCACTTGTTTCAGCATGGACTCGTTTTTCCTGGCGGAGATGTTTAAGTACCTGTTTCTGCTATTTGCTGAGGAGGAGGATTTGCCTTTTAATGTAGAGGACTATATCTTTACCACAGAAGCTCATCTGCTGCCTCTTTCCCTCTCCACTGCCTCAAACTCACATGCGCCCCCTGTCGTCAACAGTATGGTACTGCACATAAGCACTATAACAGTTCTGCTTGCCTCTCTATGTTGTAACACTGGTCAGAGTTGACTTTACTCATCCAGCTCTGTTTTCAAGTCATATTCTATTACGTAATACAAATAACTAAGCTCATTTTCACTGGTTGTCTACTTGTTTCTCTAATCAAATCTTGATATAATATCTTTCTGTCACCCCAAGGCCGGAGAGGAGCTTGATGACTCAAATTTTGAGTGGACTTGCCCTAACACCCGCCTACTCTTTCCTGATCCCGCCTTCCCACGCAATCTCCGTGAACCAATCCGAAGCGCAGTGGATAAGAGTTGTCTGCGCCCGACCATTCATCGGTGAGAAAGTGATATAAGCAGCTGGACTATGTTCAAATAGCATTTTTTTTACATAATTATACATATTATGTAATTTTTATATATGTATATATATATATATATACACTATCTGTCAAAAGTTTGAAATTAAGATTTTTTTTTACTCTTAAACACTATTATTCAGAAAGCATTAAATTGATCAGAAGTGACAGTAAAGACATAATGTTACAAAACAATTCTATTTATAAATAATGCTGTTTTTAACTTTTTAAATCTACAAAATTTGGTTTCCACCAAAAAAGCAGCAAAAACATGTTTCCTTCATTTGATAATAATATGATTATGAACCATTATTAATAATTAAGCACCGATAATAATTGAACACTGAATCATGATATACGAATGATGATAATAAATAAATAAATAAATAAATACAGTTTGTAATTTGTATATTTTAATATAAAAAATGCAGATGGTCTGGTGGAAATTACAGGAGATTTTCAATAAAACATTGATACAAATTTTTTTTTTTTTTTTTTTTTTCATCTCTCTCAGAGAGCCTGGTATGGGCCGTCCTCTTAGGGCTCAAGACTTCATGGCCAATAACCCCGAACATCTGGAGCTGCTGAGGCGGATGGGTGTGAGTCTCATCCACCTCAAGGATGGCAGAGTACAACTCGTTCAGCACGCAACACAGGTACTGTACAGACCTAGATATAAGAATTATACTATATAAGTTGTATTTCTTATCTATAGATTGAAACTTGAATCTCTCTCTACAGGCGGTGAGTGCAGTCGCTGCAGAGGACGGCATGCGTTTTATGCAGGAAATGATGGAGCTCTCCAGCCAGCAGCAGAAAGAACAGCTTCCTCCACGAGCTGTTCAAATTGTGTCGCACCCCTTTTTTGGTAGAGTGGTACTGACCGCAGGCCCTGCGCAGTTTGGAATGGATCTTTCCAAAAGCAGTTCTGGAGTGAGTATGATTAACTGTGACCTTTTATTATGTACTTTTTCACTTTTTTGGGGGCTATTTCTGTGCTGTTCTGGGTTTGTTCTTGCTAAAGGGTATAATTTTTTTTAGCCATGCTACATTGTGTATTCTGTTCTCTTTTTCCCTCTCCCTCAGGTGCGTGGGTTCGTAACCGTAGCGGAGCCCTATAACGGCTGTTCTGAGTTGAGTAACGGTGAGATTGTGGCAGGCCGCATCGCTCTGCTGCAGAGAGGCCAGTGCATGTTTGCAGAGAAGGCTAGGCACATTCAGAAAGCTGGGGCCATCGGAGGCATCGTCATCGGTAAGAAACATTTAGGGAGTCAACCATTAAAGGGATTTACACACCCTCAAGTTGTTCCAAACTTGTATGAATTTCTTTCTTCTGCTGAACACAAAAGAAAATATTTTGAAGAATGTTGGTAACCAAATAGTTTTTTTTTTTTTCTCCATACTTTGGAAGTCAATGGGGTCCATCCACTGTTTGTTGACCGACATTCTTCAAAATATCTTCTTTTGTGTTCAACAGAAGGAATAAATCTATTTCTATTTTTAATACTTTTTGATGACAAGGACCCCCAAATGTGATAATCTCCTTACAAAGGACCCCTTCCTAAACAAAACTAGATAGGTGGCCTTTAAAGCCCAAGCAAATTATTAAAACAATATCCGGAAATGTAGTTTGTATTAAGTTGACAGTGTATCTTTTTTCCTCATTGTTACATGTGAAACTTTTAAATTCAGATTAATTTGTATAGCACTTTTCACATTGAATTTTGTTTCCAAAGCAGTTTTACAGTTATGTTGACAGCCCTAAAATTACATTAAAAAAAAAAAAAAATCCTGAAATGTTTCACATATCCCCCCCCCCCCCCCCTTACATACTATATATATCTTCTTTTTTTCTTTTCTTTTTTTTTTAATTTTCTATTAAGCTTTCATAGTTTTCCCCGGTTTGGTCATTTTAGTACTTCTACTTGCGTTTTTTTTTTAACCTATCTATTTATCTAACCTATTAATCTTAGCTTTATTTCAATTACTAATTCATAATAACAATCATTAACAATTTTGTACAGAATAAATCAGTGTTAGTACTACAATACAAAAATGTATTTTTGTTTTGTCACATTTGTTTAGATGATAATGAGGGCAGCAGCAGTGATACGGCCCCATTGTTTCAGATGGCGGGAGATGGTCGGAGCACTGATGATGTCACTTTACCACTCCTCTTCCTGTTCCACAAAGAGGGCAACATCCTGTTGGAGGCTCTAAAGGAGTACAAGGAGGTGGAGGTGCTGCTCAGTGATAAAGCTAGAGACAGAGGTGAGACACATGGAGACGTGAGTTTGAAAAGATGGTTAGTATGTGAGAAAGCACTGTGAGGTTGTGCATGTTGCATCTTCAACTTTCATTCCTTTCTAATTATTCTACCTTTATTACTCTTTCCCTCTGTGTTTGTAACCGTTTTCTCTTTCCGCTACTTCTCTTTTTTCCCTACTTTCCTACTTTGATGAGCAGAAGCCATATTTAAGGGGAAAGCCCTCCCGGGCACCCTGTTGGATGGCAGTAAGTATCCCTCCTTGGGTTACCCTTCATGCATTGAACCCCCTTGATTGTATGGTGCGTTCTAGTCATGACAGAAAGATTGTACTTACGAGTTGAACACACATGAACGCTACCACAAAGTCGTAATTACGACTAGGAAATTCTGAACTTTCTTTGAGCCCAGAGTTTCTGAGTTGTGGGTGTCAGTGAGAAATTATGGCGGACGCAATAGATGCAGCATATTTCCTTTACAATAAAACTAGCTAAGTTACTACTGTAGTACTGTACACTTACAAAAGAATATATAATAATTCAATTCACAGCACCTTGATAAATTGAACAAAAGCATTCAAATGCAAAAACACACCTAATGTGCATTTTTTTAATTCATCATTTTGTAGAAGTAGAGTTAAAAATCTTGCTACATTGCCATCTTGCTCCAACCAAAGCGACTTGAATCATGACTTCCCAACTCGTAAATACGAACTTCCCAGGAGAATTTGAACACACTCAAGTCTAAGATTATGGATTTCTATTAGCGTATATTCCTTCTTGCTGACAGCATCAAATTTTGATGACGATACCATCATGCTCCACACCTAATGTGGTCCGCTAGGTTTTGCCTGTGATGTGTGATAGATATTAGGTAGATTTCTTGTGGTTTATTCAACTGACCTCTTTTTCAAGGTACAGATGGAGCAGAAGAAGAGGACTGCTCCACAGAAGAGAAAGACCACAGTTGCTCCACTTCCTCAGAACCTGTTGACCAGTCACAAGTCACTACTCAGGAACAGACAGCAGAAGACTCAGTCGTTGGGCAAGATTCGGTTCAGCCAGTGGAGGGACTTGGCAGCTACGTCCCTGTGGACGTAGGGGAGGAGCCTGCGGTGGACGGGGACTCCGACAGCCAATCGGTGAACTCGCTGATGGCTGATTGGCAGGAGGACTTAGAAGCGTTTAAGCAGATGGAGAAGGATGAGCTTTGACATTCCCCTTCATCTCAGACTCCGCTAGCATGTCCCAGCCATAACACAGACTGAGAAATCAGTTCTGTCGAATAGGGACAATATATCAGATAGGCGTGATTAAGAACTCTGACTCAAAGAGCTCATTTTCTACGGCCAGTTCTCAGGGGCTTCATTCTGATTCACACATATCCTGTTCTCTTCATCTGAACGCTGACAAACTGTTTTCCAGATTTCACACATTACAACTTATCTCTTTCTCTACATGCCTAGGGTACACAATCACTCCTGTTTTTGTCTTCCTTCTAACAAATGGATTCTCTGATTATTGAAGTGCAGGCTTAAATCATCAGTGCTGATTAATCGTCTGAAAGACTGATTAATGCCTGGTTTAACTGTGATGAATTGCTTTTTGCAGTAGGATTCATATTTGGTTCTTGTCTCAGTTTGCAGGGTCTGAAAAACCCTCCAGAAAATCTGCGATCCTTTATGAAATGATATATATGTATGTATGTATGTATGAGTGTTTGTATGTATGATTATTGTTTTTAATTAGTAAGAGAATCAGCCTGGGTGGGTTAAAAAACGCTTCTTCCATCCTTCAACATTAAGTATTTAACGGTCGTATACATTCAGTCCAGCTTATGACTTTACGATGAGGTCAATTTTTCAAAGAGTAGCATTAAAGGACCACGGATGACAACTTTGCATGTCAGTGACAGACTTTTTTCCCAAGGATGAAGGAGACATGTGAAGCATCCTAAAGTATCCGCCAGAGGACGCTATTGCTCCGTTGCTCCCAGTAGCTCATTAATTGACTGGGAGACCATGCCAGGGGGCATGAAACGTGATAAGCTCAATAAAATTGATTGAAAATTTTAATATACGACTCCTTTTTATTGGATAAGCTTTCTATCACACGTGTGATATTTATGAAGGGAGCGGGACTTGATTACATTTTAGCTTTATGAAAGTGCGCATGTCATAAATTAAAGCAGTAGTAAGGCTGTTGCATCTATGTGTAGAGTAAAACCACTCAACTTGGCTGCTGAAAATTCAGCTTTGCCATCACATAAATAAATTACATTTTAAATATATTAAAATAGCAAACAGTTGTTCTAAATTGTAATTACATTTCACAATATTACTGTTTTACTAGTTTTGATCGGATAAATTGAGCCTTGGTGAGACTTCATTCAAAAACATTAAATCTTATCGACAACTTACCCAAACTTTTGAACGGTATATTAATAAATGTGGATGATCAATTTGTATGTTTGTTAGTTTACCATAGTATTGAGCAATACATAATTTTTGTTATATATATATAATGAACATATATATATGAACATATTTAATGAACATATATAATGAACATATATATATATATATATTAATAGAATGTTGCATTATAAATATATTATAATAAATTTAACATAAATGATAAGAACAGAACATGCATATATAAAGAGATTTATGAAATATTGGTTCAAAAATCTTATTTCTTGGCTGAAGAAAGACATGCAACTGGGGGTGATGAGGGGAAAATGTAAGGATAATTCGACTAGTTCCTCCCCTCCTACGTCTAGGCATGTGGTTGGTTTTCCACACGGGCTTCAGCAAGATGGCTGCAGTTCTTCGAGCAAATCAGGAGTGTGGGCTGTAAGCCAGCGGTGCACATCACATCACTACAGTAACAGCAGCGCATTAGTAGTGGGAAGTTCGGATCATTTTACTGACTCGGATCTTTGAGTCTCGTTCAGCAAAATGAACGAATCTTTTTTCGAGTCATTTCGTTCATTTCAGCATAATATAATTAAAATGGCATGTTAAATATCCCAACACATCTAGAACTTACGAAAATGTTGATTACATTTGTAAAAAGAATAAAAATAAATTATAGGGTAATGCAGCCAAAGCCAAATTATAAGAAACCGAAATTTTTATGAATTGATTAGTTGTTGGGTTTTAAGTTCAGGCTATTGCAGTCTGATTCTGTTAGTTCACCTCACCTCCTCATCCGAGACGTTCTTTCCTTTGCAACTTCATATTTATCAGGTTTGTTCTCCTCCTCTTGTGTCTCGAGACGTTAGTTGTCGACTCGTCAGTGTCTGACTCTGATCTGTCTGCTGGGCCGTGCCGTGTGTGATACAGCAGGGCCGGAAAGAGTAATGATTAGTTCATCTTTCGAGTCTCGAGTTCGGGTTCGGCCGGGTCCGAGTCTTTCGTTCTTCCTGTCAGTCCCATAGAGGCTATGCTGTCAGTACCGGAAAGAGTAATGATTAGTTCATCTTTCGAGTCTCGAGTTCGGGTTCGGCCGGGTCCGAGTCTTTCGTTCTTCCTGTCAGTCCCATAGAGGCTATGCTGTCAGTACCGGAAAGAGTAATGATTAGTTCATTTTCTTCGAGTCTTCGGGTTTGAGTCCTTCGTTCTTTTGTCACGTGACCGCTGGTATCTCGCATCAAATACAATATTAGATTCGTATTATTGACTGCGTCTGAATGTATATTGTTTTATATTTAGGAATTAAAATACAAAATATGTGAAATAAACATTATCTGAAAAATAAAAGTTCCATCTTATTATTGTCCCTGTCCGTTTCTTTAAATGTTTCTTGTGCATCTGTGGTGTGTTTTATTATATATTATACATTAATTAACTACTATTATATTATACATTAACTACGTGCTTGTTTGTAAAAAGGTTGTGAATTGTGACAAGTCACGTGACAAAAGAACGAAGGACTCAAACCCGAAGACTCAGAAGATGAACTAATCATTACTCTTTCCGGTACTGACAGCATAGCCTCTATGGGACTGACAGGAAGAACGAAAGACTCGGACCCGGCCGAACCCGAACTCGAGACTCGAAAGATGAACTAATCATTACTCTTTCCGGTACTGACAGCATAGCCTCTATGGGACTGACAGGAAGAACGAAAGACTCGGACCCGGCCGAACCCGAACTCGAGACTCGAAAGATGAACTAATCATTACTCTTTCCGGTACTGACAGCATAGCCTCTATGGGACTGACAGGAAGATCGAAAGACTCGGACCCGTCCCGAACCCGAACTCGAGAGAGATGAACTAATCATTTCCAGTACAGATTCAGAAACCATATGTTGCGCAATGCGCATGCGCGATCAACACAAAATGAACGAATCACTCTCTGAGACAACTCGGTAGTCCCGAGTCATATTAAAGATTCGTTCAAAATGAACGAATCGTTCATGAACGACACATCACTACAGCGCATATTCCCGTCCGCCAGTGTGTGTGTATGTCACAGTATGTGTGTGAGCCGCCGCCAGTGGAAGTGGAACGAGCGGGTCACTTCTGACAAGTGAGTGTTTCCCTGTCATATTTATGCATTTTTGCGCTGATTCGGCAAGTGTTTGTTTTCATTGTTACATGCAAACCGTTTGCCTTTCTTTGTGTCTTGTCTTTGGTGAGTCGATTCCTGGTTCTTTTTTTTTTTTCTTTTTTTTTGCATTATCAGTTCTATCTGATCTTTGAACAGTGATTCTGGACTGCATTGTGGTTTGGGCTGTGTCTCAATGTGCTTGCCAGCATACACAGCATTTAACCTAAACACAATTGTAGGCGCCTATGATGCCCACAATCCTGACTAGGTAGGCTGTTCACTAGGTGTTCAGACACAGCCATGATTAAGACAGGAATAGGTGAGATCAATTGTTGGTTATTGTCATGAGTCTGCTCCATTGCATGGACATGTATTGATTTACACCCGTTTTTTACGAAGTACAGCTGAACTGGAAGTAATGAAAACAAAAGACACCTGGGTTGGCATGCATGCACACGTACACGTGTGTGTCCCACTGTCCTGCGGGCAGACAATGCGCCCTCTGTCTCTGCCGTGGCGCAGCTGTGTGTGTCCTTCTGTCACTGTGCTTTCATATGCAGTATTTTCATTAGCGTAGAGTTCATTCAGTGTATGACTGTCTGTGTGTTTGAGTGTCAGACTAGGGGAGCTATGGGTGAGCGATGTTTGATTTGTAAACGAATCCTTCCTTTTAGCCGAATCTTTTTAATGAAGCGGTTTAGAGAACCGGACCGATTGATTCGTTATTGAATCGGTCCGAGCTTTTATCGAATCAACTCAATGACTCAACTGAGAATGTGATTTAGCAGTGGGTGATGCGTTATTTTGTGATGTCTGATTCGTGAAATAATCGTTCTTTAGTCGATGAATCGGATGAACGATTCATTAATGAATCTGACTGAATTGGTCCAAGTGGTTTTTCAATGAGCTCACTGACTTGAATTGAGAATCGCCTTTCAGGTTCAACTTGTAGTGATCTGTTTTAACAACCCTCTGACTCACTGAGAACCGTCTTTGCAGTGTTCCAATTTAAGAGTTCCCTTACTCATTAATTACACTGAGAACTGACTCTTTTAGGTTTTTCCTACTCTGAATGATCTGGGCTACTTTTCATAAGCCTACTTAGATCGTATAGCCATTGGCACCAATGGTCTCTATGATCAACTTGGTTCGTGGTGCTTTTGAGAAACGCAGCCCTGGTTTGACAGTTGACTTTGCTGAACCATTGTTGTGTAAGATTGTATCCCATAGCAGAATTCAATGGGACCCAGGAGTGATTCTTATTTTCTCCATATAGGCAAACTGATTTTTAACGACAATATCAATCTTTGAGTTACATGGTTGTTAAATCAGTTTGTTGAAGCTGTAAATCCACATTATTTCATATTCTTTTTTAAATTAAGTTTAAAATGAGTTTAAGAGGGGAATTCCTAGTAATACAATGACATTAACCAAGAGCTAAATTTTAGTACAGTTTAATGTAAATTCAAATTAGAGGTATACTCTTAACTACTTTGTTTTTATGGGCTGATTCATGGCTGCAACAAATTGACACATAAAATCAGAATAAACAGCCTTAATTAACATTAAACTTAATTGGAAAAACTGTAATTAAAAACAAAACATGCTTCGTCTATAAATGTTGTTGAGCATGCAATATGCAACACTGAGATGTCAGGAACCACATGAAGATACAGTATAAAAGATCTGCTCAGTCATTTATTTTTGTACATTTATTTTTTTATCTGAAACAAACTGAAGGAATTAATTTACGGAAATGAGTTGTGCTTTGGTATGGGGGACATGGCCGGCTCTGTACCTCTCCCTCTCTTGATCTCTCATCAGTCTGACACCTCCATCTGTCTCTCTCAGTCTCATCCATAAGCGGTCTGTGTGTGTTGTTTTGCATACATATGGCTTTTGTTCTGGTGACTGAAGAGGCTGAAAGGCTATTAATAGCGACTGTGGGTTCTCCTCTTGGTCAGTCAATTTCAAGCTTCTCCACCACCAAAGCTCCCATCTCCCTCTCCGTCTGTTTTATTCAGTTTCTCCCGCTCAGTTCACAGGACCTGAGAAAAGCGACCCAATTAGCCCATGGGGTTATGATGCAATATCAGGGTGACATCACTCAGAGAGGAGGTTTCCATAGCTACCAGAGGTCTATGTGGGAGGTTCCATCCTGTTGCAGTGTTAGAGCTTTGTGTGGTGACGTGTGTTCTGATGACCAAGGATGTTGCATGTGTGTGTATTTGTGAATTACAACTTTTGGTTTAGTATGTTGACAGGACAACCTGATCGAACTCTTGTACAGTGTGGGATGGCTTGGTTGTGTGTTTAAAGGAAAAAATGTACTCACCCTTGTGTCCTTCCAAACCCCTATGACATTCTTTCTTATGCGGAACACAACACAAATGGAGATATTAAGCAAAATGTTCTTGCTTTTTTCCATGTGAAAGTGAAATTATATGAATGGTCCATATGAGTCATTCTGCATGTTCCATGTTTTCTAAAGCTATGTGATTTGTTTTGTATGAGAAACCAAAATATAGCTTTGAACACCAGGTTGGTGGTGTTTATTATTAATAATATTAATTGTAATAACATGATTATTATTAAAAATATTAAATATTAATAATTAATATTTTGTATAAGTGTACCATATAGTTTTAATCTGTTTTCATCTGATATAATAGATTTAGCTAAATGTATGTATTAATTTTTATATATATATATATATATATATAATTATATACATCATTTATATATGTATGTGTATTATAATTAGGGCTGCACGATATTGAAGAAAAATGCTATATGTGATAACTTGTTAAATAATGTGATATTCGCAATACGATAATGCTTTGTGTGTAAAATTATATTTAAAAACTAAAAATTATATAACCAACATACATGTTTCACATTCATTTAGTGAGAAGAAAGCATCCCTACAACTTCTGAAAGTGAACAGCAGTGTTTTGCTGTTGCATGACATAAAAAGTAAGTGTCATTTTAATGTCAGGGTAAACCAGAGGGTTTAGGGTTTCAGGTAGGCCTACATTAGGTTTATTTAACAACATAAATTGATTAATAAATGTAAAAAATAAAACTGCTTAGCCTAGTCTTCATTGTATGAATTAAATAGACATTGATTCTTATTGAAGCTACAAAAGTTATTCAGTCAAGAGCAGTGATTGATTGATTTCCGTTGTTTGATTAACATTAAGCACACAGATGGAAGCAGGTTTATTAGGCTGCTGTCACTTTAAAAGCTGCACAGATCCAGTATTGTCACGCAATCACTTTTATTCTCAACTGTTTACTCTACGTAAGACATAACAGACTGTTTACATGAATACTCACAAAGACAGCATTTTGACAATTTTGTGTGTATTTGGCCACATACATTGTAATCTAAACCCCCATTGCAAATCAGGTTTATTGGCAAAATGTATAGACTTTCAGCTGTTTGCAATGAACAAATCAAACAAAAGTAATTGAAATAGCTCAACAAAACAAATGTTTCAAGTGTTTTGCCCAAATTCAACTGAAAATGCTACTTTGTTTTAACCCTCTGGGGTCTAAGGTGTTTTTGGGGTCCTGGAGGTGTTTTGACATGCCCTGACATTTGTGCTTTTTTCAGTTGCTTTATAAACATATTAATGGCAAAGGTGTCATTACACTTTATTTAACACAAACAGGGCTACCATAATATGTGAGCAACATGGATGTTTGTATTTTTGAGAGAATATTGTTTATGCATGGTTATTGAAAAAACTAAAACGTAGTTTCTGAAGGCCACAAAACACATACTAAATATGTATCCACATTGACTTAATGGATGTTGTCGCCTAGAGTTTTTGCTTCAAAATGATCTGAAAATCATCCTGCCTAATCATTTACACAAAACAATACATTGATTTTAATTTTGTAAGACACTTTTTGTTTAGAAAGGCTATATGCGGGGGGCGTGAATGATCATGAATAATGCTCTGACACCTGAGAAGACAATGACCTGCATAATGAGCTGCATAATGAGCCTTTCACACAGGTGTGTCACTGGGTAGCAAAGAATGTGAGGACAAAAGAAATATATATATATATTAGGGGTGTAACGGTACACAAAAATCACGGTTCGGTACGTACCTCGGTTTTAAAGTCACGGTTCGGTACGTTTTTAAAACAGCAAAAAGTAAGAAATGCCAGAGAAATTTCCTATTTGTTAAAAGAAAAAATATTTTTTAAATAAGTTGAGTTTTCCTAGATCTTGAAACTTTCAGGTTTATAAATGGGTGTCATCTTTGAAGGATGAACAAATAATGTTTTGGTCATCACATTAAAAATAACATTTAAATATATGAAGAGTTCAGATGCAAAAGCCATTTGAAATTTTCTTTATTTTTATCAAGCTTTTATATTTAAGTTCAGTAATTTCACTTAAATGGCAATGAAGATTACCTATTAATTGTCATTTGAGTGAAATTACTGAACTTAAATATACAAGCTTCATAAAAATGATCAATCTAGAAGAAAATTTCAAATGGCACTTAGAGGCTTTTGCATCTGAACTCTTCATATATTTATTTATATAATATTTTGTGTTTTGAAGTGCTGGAAAAAGATGTGTGAAGTACTTGAAAGCATTTCACTATTCCAGCCAAACTGGTTACAGTTATGGTGAATGTTGCTGGTCTGTGGACGTAAAGTATTACTAACTTAGTTCATTCATTCACGGCACAATATTTCTCCTGGTGTCCACGTCAGCGCTGTTTGATCTAATAGAGCTCTACGGTTAATAACGGAGAAATGTGAATGCTTCTCTCTTGATCTCGCAGCGATGTTATTACTTCAGTGGCGAATTCAAATGTTTTCTTTACTGGATCTCTTAGCGCTGTGTAGTAACAGTGTCGCTTGATCGAGATCGGCTTGCGCTGCACAGATGTTGCTGGTCCGAACTCCGAACTGATAAACGATCCGTGAAGCACACAATGAGTAGCGCAGTT